TAGGGTTAAGGGGTTTAGGGTTTGCCGCAGGTTGCCTTATCATCATGTTGATGCATGGTCCGAAAGAAACTGTTTACGAAAATTCACCATTATGCAGCTCCATTATCACCCGTGTGCAGTGAGTTCATCACAGTGCTCGTATTGAACTACCCTGAACCGCTACTGGTCAAGCTTTTCAGGTTCCGCGCTGAGGGTTCAGATTTTGGACCTGGAATTTACCCTCTATATATAAATATAGAGAGAGAGAGAATATTGATTGAATCCGTGGTTAGGTGGTCTCAGAGGATCACAAGAAGGTCCAAAACCTAAGCCCCACCACCGCAAACCACCATTATCCATTAATTTTCTCGGCCCAATCTGCCCCGCTCGGTAGGCGGAGCACTGCGAAAGATGCGGGCTTGGGGTTTCACCTATAGGGTTTAGGGCTTTGGGCAACGTGTGCTGCAGCCCCTGCTGAAAAAAAAGGGGTTCAGAGAATGGGGACTGTGGCTTATAGTTGATACTCACCCACAACGGTTGGGCACTCTTCTCCCAGTACTGTTACACTCGTAAACTTAGTCTCGCCCTACGCCATCCAGCGAGCCTGAAAGCCTCAACCCCAAGACCCTGAACAACCCCCCCCAAACCCTAAACCCTANNAAAAAAAAAAAAAAAAAAAACATAGAGACCGACTACATTGCGCCCTTGCTTGGCTTCAGAGGTCCTCCTGCACCTTCCAAGCCGACAGCAGCGGGCCTTTCAGAGGCTGTGTCGGATGTCCTTGCTTCGAAGTGTGAAGAGTGTTCGGAATAGCAATGTAACGAGTTTCGGGGTCATGATCACGATAACGAGTGGTAGTCGTAATGGCGGAGAGAATCGTCATCAAGGCTTTACCCATCGCGATGCGGGTAATGCTGGTCAGGGAAAAATGCATGCTGCCACACCTCTATAGGCATGATTTCAGGATTGTCGTGGAAGTGAAACAACTTGAATCCTTTTTCCAAATCCCACAGACTCACAGACCCGATGCGGTCCCCCGCTTTCTGACAACGCATCAACAAAGGAGGCAAAGTTGAATCCTCTTCCGGACATGGTGACAACAGTGACATGGTAATAATCAGGATCTTCAGCGGCCATTATCTGGAAAGGACAGCTGACACCAGCAAGGTAAACGGTTTCTGTAGCCTTCCGAAGCAGAAGCAACATGAGCATTGAAGGCACTGCTTGTGACAGTTTACAACGACAGCCAGCGGACGAGAGTAAGAGTATAGTAGCAAACACGGAACTTGCACTATGCATCACTTGGCCACCTCAATGGACGCAGATGCAAAATCAGGCATGCATGAGCAACAGGAAACCCTAAACCTGCTAGTGCTACTAGTGCAGCTCGTGCGCTACGGTCACGATTGCGACGACCTCGCCCAACCCTGTCCAGGAAACCCACAACAAATGTCAATTCCAAGGGCTTGGCATCTACAACCCTGCTTAGACTAGCGGCATTTTGCTTGTTCCCCGATACGCTTGCAATCAGTATGAAACCCTAAACCCTAAACATGGTATTCCGGAGCCCTTATCAGGCGAAGGAAAAGAGGTGATAAAAGCAAAATCCCTAAACCCTAAACCCTAAACGAAAGAAGCTTGGACACGCCGGGAGTAGGCCAGACATGGAGTTCTCCAAATAAGTGTCGTTAGGTCCCCAATAGAGTACGGCACCCTTATAGAGAGGATCATAAAAGGGACCCTATCTTGTGTAAATGGTCTATACTTGGAGCTCAAGGGCTGCAGGAAGTTTGAATGTGTGGTGCTTTAGAACTTCAGGCAGCAGAGCAGAAGGATTCGGAGCTTCGGGGCTTGTGAGGGAGAGCCGGAGAAAGAAGGCCACGGCGCAGCCAAGTACATCATCCGATTCGATGACAGGCAATGAACATTCGGGGGCGTGGTCCATGGGCTCAGGCTTAGGCTCTGGGTCTCCAAGACTCCTCAAGCAAGTTAGGGTTTAGAATTTAGGGCAAGGAAGCGGGTTTCAATAACGCCCTAGGACCATGAACTTGACGACTGTCCTGTGAACTGCCAAGCTTTTCAGCAAGCTTTTAGAAGCTATTGCCGCTTCACCGGAACCCCAATCTAAGGCCCGGCAACTCGGACTGCCATTTCTACTGCCCTGCCACAAAAAATCAAAGGAGGGATCGTGGACACATAGTGGGCTTTCAAATAGTCACACCGTCCGACAATACAAATATTACTGATAGCAGAAACATTGCACACTTAAAGAAGGATAACAATACGAAACGTAATTGAGTAGCAACAAAAACAATGATTTGTAGTTTGCTACTCCTACTTCTACTCCTACTGCTGCTGTTCCTTCTAATGCTGTTGCTACTACTAATAACACAAATACTAAAGATAGTGCTAGCGATAGGAACGTTTAACAGCAGTCATACAAATTAGAACAATAGAAATCTGCAGAGAAGAAGAGCACTAATTATTAGAAACCACGAGGGGATTCCCGGGCCTTGGCTGGACGCCACAGGGTTCTTTTTGGTCTTTCAGCATAATGTTTGTTGCTGCCAGTAAGTACAATGATCATACTACAGTTGCTGCAGCGTCATGTTTGCCATGATCGCTCGTACCCTTGTCATTCCCTAGTAGATACCTACATTGCAGCTAAACTTCGGGCGATGACTCCTTACAGCTTAAACTCTGACCGTAGATCGGCAAGCCTGAGCTTTATAACTCTGCACCTACGTCCAAGGCCCAGCGACGCCCTGTCAACTGCGAAGACTGCCAGGGCATGAAAACACGGGAATTTCGGTCCATAACTCTGAAACCGACTCGTAAGTAAACCCGACCCTACACTCCAGCCCGAGAAGTAGAGCCTGAAGGCCTAACCCCATCCTAAACCCTGAACAAAGAGCCAACCCTAAACCCTATACCCTAAANNACCCGAAACCCTAAACCCCAAGAGCCGACGCTGCAGACGATGACTCCTGCACCATCGCCCAGCTGCGAGCTGCAGCCGAGCGCCTTACGGCCGAGGGCTTCGGGGATTTCGCCCTTCCAGCCGCACAAAGAACATGTGGTTAGGGATTAGGGTTTAGGGTTTAGGGTTTAGGGTTTAGGGTTGGGGGGGGGGGGGGGGGGGGG